GTCTTTTTGTTCGTGAACAGCTCGTGTTCGGCTCGTTAAGCAAACGAGCTGAACACGAACACACTTTTTGAGCTCGAAATATAAACGACGGCTCTTTTACACCCCTAGATGGAACACACTCGCTATAACCGGTCCTCCTTAATCTACGCAAGTTAAAGATAGCCCAACTTCAAATCCGCGAGTTCGAGACTACAAAAATATACAAAAAACCAAAAACAAACATCAAAGAACATGCAATCCCTTACAATAAACAAACATCAAAGAACGTGCAATCCCTTACAAACCCTCATACCTTAATAAGCAGAATGGAAACGCCTTCCCACAATACAAAAAGACGCGACAATAAAATGTTCAAAATTCATCAGAAAAGAGATCATATAATCCAAAAAAGATAAATATAAATTCAGCCAAATTACATTAGATAACAAAGCAAGCGTCTCTCTCCATCCCATAGCGATGCAGGAAAAGATTAATAAAATCACGATCTATACCACCACCAGCAGATCAGATCTCTAATGAGCTTTCCCGTCAGATGAAACATGATGCAACGAATTGGATGCTTGTACGAAAACAAAATACAACCAGCTCCATTACTCAAAAGTCTGTAAATAAACCAAACCCCATAAAACAAAAACAGGACCAAGGGAACAACCAAACCGTCTCACCGAATCCAAATCAACACTAGAAATAAAGAAATAGAGCAAACCTAAAGATTGAAAAGCAACGAGACAGAATTAGATCCAGAAACAAAAATAATTACTATGTCTCCACTACAATCCAAATCCACTCACCGGTCCGATTCCCCTCGAACGAGCCGCCTCCGGCCGTAGAACGAGACCTGAACCCTTCCGAGCAGGCGTGGCGGTGGCCGGCACCTGTGAGGCGGACAGAATTATTGCCGCGAAGAAGGACATATAAAACCAGTGAATCTGATTGGAGCCCACGAAGTAATGCTTATTTGGCAGACTTGGATAGGTCCTGGACTGTGTTCGGTGTTTGGAAACGGTAGTGGAATCAGCGGCATCGGATCCTAGGCCCGCGAGGGAATCTTTCGGGTAGGCTTGGTAAGATTGTCAACCAGTTAAGTGGGAAGTGATTTGGGTTTCATGAGCTAACAAGTCAAGCTAGAGTTAGACCCGAGTTAACTTATTAGCCCGTGAGGTTAATTTAATAAATAATTGATGTAAAATATATTTAAAATATATTCAATTTTAACTTTTTATCTTTAAATTTAAATTATTGAATAAGATATAAAAAATAATATTTTATATTTTATAATAAGTGATTTATTATTATTTCTCTCTTATATCTGATTATTTACTCTATTTATTATTTTAATATACTACTTACTCGAATTATTTTTTTTTCATAATCCAAGCCGGCTCAAATTTTTAAAATTAAGTTTGATTTCGAGCTCGAAATTGATTATGTTAATTAAACTCAAGCTCAAGCGAGGGTGGCTCTAGCTTCACTCAACTTGTATACAACACTCCCTATTTGTGGCTAACCACCTCCTTGGAATTCACATTGTCGTGTGTGAGTCGGTGTTGGACCAGATATCCAGTTTGGTCGAACCATTCTCATGTTGAACTGACACAGGTCCATCGGTTAGCTCATGCTTGAGATCAAATCAAACGAACAGTTATGTTCAATGTTGGTCAAATCACTTGGTTCAGCCTGCAAATATCATTCAATTTAGGATTTTTTCAATAATATGACTGTAGATGATGATGGCTCTTAGCTATAATGCCACTCAATTTTATTTCTTATTTTATTTATTGTTCTTTTATGAAATATATTAAAAAATATCATGTGACCTACACACCTAATTTGTATAGTTTATGAGTGATGATGGACATTTTTTATATCATTGTGTTAAAATTATTCAAATAGATTGTTGCTTTTATACACGTGTGATCATCAACATGACCCAAGATATTGAAATGATATTCCTTAGTCATGACTTAATTTTTTCACTTAGGGCTATCAATGAGGCGATTTCAAGTCGAGCTATGGCTAGCTTGAAATCAACTCAAGTAGATTGAGTTTAGATCGAAATAGACTCATGGCTAGTTACGTTCAATTTCAAGCCAGGTCGGCTCGAAAATTGATTAGAGCTCAATTGGGTTGTAAATCAAAACAAGATGGCTCAAATTAAGGTATTTGGATCCGTTCTAGCACAAAATTGGTTTGTAACTCTTTATATTTGATTTTATTTACAATTATATATATTTTTTTATGCATAAAAAAATATTTTAAGCTGATCTCAAGCCAGTTCAAGCAGATTAACACATGGCTCAAATTTAATTCAAAGTTTCATCTCTTTTATTTCGGTATGATCTCAATCCGAGCTAAAATTTAGATCAATTTTTGAGTGATTAATAATGCTCAAGCTCATTTCACTGCCCTATTTGTACTTGATACTCCTACATGAGCATCATATTGAGATTTATTTATTATGCATAAGTTTATTAAGATTATCTTAATAGAATAAATTTTAGCATACATATCATTTAATTTTTGTGCATTGAATATAATAACCAGTTTTGCATAGCATATTGAGTTATTTGCTCACTCCTACGTTTAATATTTTTTTAGAAAATGGTAAGGTTTCAGTAAGATGATGTTATTAATGTTATTGATATGGATACACATAAAATTTTGTAATTATAAAATAACTCTACTAATTTGAATCTATTAACAAACTATGGTTATATATATATATATATAATCAAACAGCTCATGCAACAACAAATGCGATTATATATTTACACACACGGAGAGAGAGAGATATATATATATTATACGAGCCCCGATCATTGCTCATGCGCCTAAGTATTCGAGTACCACACCATACACTCGAGGGGAATCGAACTCAAACCAGAGATGACTTACAACTGACAAGCAGATGCCCAACCAATTGAAGATTTAGAAATAATATAAACAACAAGATAAGTGATATTAAATCATCAAAACAATGTCATTTTACACAGTGAACAATGAAACATAAAATTACATTGGCATATCAAAATCCTGACATCAGGTAGAGTAGAAAGCCAAGCCTCTACTTACAACAATAATATTGAGAAAAATTTAAAATTTGTAAAACAAAATTACAAGAAAGGAATCAATACATACCCCTGCAAAACAACCATTCTCTCTGAATCCAAATCAGAATAACTTTATTCTTTCTTTTTGTTTGGGATTGGAAACATTAATAGTTAGTGAGTATCCATAGAGTGAAGAGCTCCTAAAATTCCACAATTTTACTTGAGTTTATGTAGCCTTTTAGCTGAGCTCAATGTATTGGACAAAAGCATGGCTATGGTCATCGGTCCAACTCCACCGGGCACCGGAGTAATAGCCGAAACCACTTCAGAAGCCTCATCGAAGCACACATCGCCTACCAGTCGATATCCTCGAGCACTTTCCGGATCCTAAAACGTCAAGGCAAAGTGAAAAGGTCAAGAGAACGAGTTTGAGCTTGAGTTTGAGTTCGAGTTAGAGAGCTTCGAATCAATAAATATAAGGAAGACTCATATACATACCACTTCATTCTTATGTATTTACATATCTAATTCTTGAACTTTAATTTTACATATATGCCACCTGACCAATGAATGAAAAGGGTATTTCACTTTTTTAAAGTGAAAATAGTGGCATTTTTATGTGATATGAAATATTTGGGTAGTATACATGTAAAAAGTAAAATCTTGGTGTTAAATATGTATATACATAGGAATTAGGTGTAATGCATGTAAATGCCCATAAGCAAATCTCCATCCAAAGTAAAAAAGGATTCTGGGCTCCCAGTTTTGATGTAACAAGTCAAGATTAAACAAAAGTTATATTGTGATAATTTCAAAATTTTGGTCATATCCAACACCAAAACTTTAATTCTTACATTGATACCATCAAAATCTTTAAAAAATACCACCATTTTACCTTTTAAAAAACATGTACGTAAATCTTCAACAATTTAACATGATTGCAATTATCTTTTTCATGTGTGCAGGGGAGTGACTACAACTTACATCAACAGGATTAATTCCGACGTCTATAACGACAGCTCCAGGTTTCAGCCAGCTACCCCGCACCAGATTTGCAACTCCAGCGGCTGAAATAACTATGTCGGCTTGTTTTGTAATTTCTTCGGGGTTTTTAGTGTAAGAATGCACCATTGTTACTGTTGCATTTGCTCGCTGTTCAAATAATTGCATGGTCAAACTTAATAGAAAGTACAAGCGTCATGAACTTGAACAAAGAATGAAATCCTAAAAAAAGATCAGAGATGCGGTATGTGTTGAGATCATTTACAATCAAGATAGAATATACAACATCATACCATAAAAAAGTCCAAAAACATCTCAAAAGAAAGGAAGATCTACATAAATACCATTCATTTCCTAGTTATTTACATATTTAACACCTAAAACTTTAATTTTTACATACACGATACCTTACCCATGCATGAGGAGGTGTATTTCACCTTTTAAGAGTTAAATTGGTGGTATGTTTGATGTGATATGAAGGATTTGGGTGGTATAAATGTATTAAAGTAAAGTTTAGGTGTTAGATATGTAAATATGGGAGAATTGAGTGGTGCAGCAGGCATACCAAAAGAACGGCTTCTTCTTGTAAATATCATGCTATCATATATTTCAAAAATATAAGTCCCAGATGATGAAACCCAACTTTTGATTGACAATTGCATAATATTGGAGGGAAATCCCAATATTGTCTCTTCATTGAATAGAACAAAGGGAGGACATCTGAATAGTATTATAAAAAAATCATCCCCAGCAAGATAGAATCCACATAAGTCCCAAAAACAAAATCAAAACAAACAAAGATTTACATACATACCACTTAATTCCTATGTATTTGCATATCTAACTCCTAAACTTTAATATTTTTATATATGCCATCTTACCTATGCATGAAAAGGTGTATTTCACTTTTAAAGGGTTAAAATTATGTTATTTTTAACTTGATATTATCCCAAGCAAGTTAGAATTTATAGAAATCACAAAAAACAAACAAAAAAAGGAAGATTTACATACATGCCACTCAATTCCGATGTATCTACATATCTGACACCTAAACTTCAATTTTCTCATACATGCCACCTTACCTGTACTTAAGAAAGGTATATTTCACTATTTAGGAGTTCAAATGATAGCACTTTTTTAAGGGATTCGAAGGAATTGGGAGGCATAAATATAAAAAGTAAAATTTACACGTTTGGATTGTAAATAAAAGGGCTTAGTGTTGTATCTATGTAAATGCCCCCAAAAAAACTAGAATGAACTTGTAATAAACCAGAAACAAGATAACAAAAAGAAACACCTGCAATAACAATGCAGCAGGCATCCCAACGATATTGCTTCTTCCAATCACGACAGCTCGCTTTCCCTTGATTTCAATTTCATACCTGCGAAGAAGTTCGATGCATCCTTTCGGCGTGCACGGGACGAATAAAGGATCTCTACCTTGCATGGCAAGACGACCAATATTCAACGGATGGAAACCATCGACATCTTTCTCGATAATAACAGCATTCAAAATTTTCTCCTCATGCATGTGCTGTTAGCAAACACAAACAAAGCATAAATCAACTATCCCATTGAAGATATGAAGGATTCATTAGCAAAATCATAAATAAGTGCTTCAGCTTTATTTTATTATATTTCCATTCTTACATATATTTACATGTAGTCCGAAGAAAAGATTCATTTTAAGGGTTTCTTGAAAAGGCGAGTAATCATGAAAAACACACATCAGCAAAAGTGTCATAGTCTCAGCAAAGTGGGAACCAGAAGACAATAGAGAAAAATGTTAAAATAGTTCCCAAACTCTTTGCAGATGGTCATTTTAGTCTCAAAGTCTATAAAAGTGTCAATTTAGTCCAAATTTTTTTAATATGGGCTGAAATAATCTTTACGAAGGATTATTTCAACCCTAAATTAAAGAGTTTAGGGACAAATTTATCAGTTTTAAAGACTCTAAGACAAAAATGACCATATGTACACAATTAGGGGACTATTTTGACACTTTGCTTGAAGATGATACAACCATGGGTGTCCCCTCAATAAGAACAGATGAATCAATAAGGATTCAAATTAAAACATTCATCTATAAAAAGATTTATTCATACAAGCAAAATCCATAAAACCCCAACTGAAGTATTTATAGAAAGAGAATTTACATACGCCACACTTATATATCTAATACTTCAAAATTTGATATTTACATATACAAAACTTCCATACCATAATCACAACAAATTTTATGCATGAAAAGGAATACTTCACTCAAAAAGAAGTTGATAATACTATTATTTTTTATGTGATGTTATAGATTAAGTGTTATATATGTAAATGTATAAGAATTGTATGGTATGTATGTAAATCCCTCTAATCATAAAAGCAAGTCAAAATTGCATCACTGAGGAAACAAGGAAAGCAACATACCCGAGGTAGAGGCAATTGAACAAGGATGCCATGAACTGAAGGATTAGTGTTGAATTGGGAAATATGCTCGATAACTTCTTCCTCGGAACAATCCTCGGGCAAATTAGCTTCATAAGATGCAATTCCAACATCTTCGCAAGCCTTCTTTTTATTGCGCACATAAGTTTGGGAATCTTTTCTCGAACCAACTAGAATAACTGCCAATCCAGGTACAATGCCAGTTGTTTCTTTAATCTTGTCTATCTCGATAGCAATTTCATCTCTAATCTTCTTCGCGACTGATTTTCCATCAAGTAACTTTGATGATGTGTCGGTTGTCATAGCAACTATAAATGAATTTGAAGACAATGGCAAGTAAAATAACTTAATCAAGTATTATTCATTTGAACTGATGACAAGGTTAGTGATATGGTAAGGGCTCATATTACTAAAAGAAAACATAAATTTATGAGAAATAAAAGAGCTAAAGTAGCTAAGCACGCCAACTCTTTCGGTATATGTACTCGCATGCATATATAACAAACCATAGAACGAAGAGTTTTCCGTACTACAATATTTCCACAGACATCCGATGGAAATAGAAAACTGTCCGGTAGAAGAAAAGTTGAAATCCAATGAATTTGAGTGTGTCAATCACCCAATGTTGATCCTTCTTGTGATATTGTGGAGGAAACCAAATTGGCTCTGTTGAAGCTGAATAAAAAATTTGGAGCAAGAGATGTACAAGTCGTTGATGTCAACTTTGAGAGAGAACTAGAATAGAAAATAGCGGGGGATGAGATCCCAAATTAATGAAAAGGATGATGCATCAAGAAGATTGAGCAGTGTTGATAAACTAAAGCTGATTGGTGTAAAATCTACCTGAGAAAATATTGTGAGATTAATAAGCAACAAAGGCATCCTAGTTTTCTGAATTAAAAAGTAAAATAACTTTATAAATGAGAACCTTGGCATTGATGTAATTTGTACCATTTGCATAACCGCAAGAGATAAGTAGACAAATCTTCAATATACTTTGTATGGTCGTAGTTCACAGGATTATGTGCAATAATGTATGAATTTTCATCATAATAGACCTTTCAAGGTAATCTTAACCCATTATAACTCACAGATTCTGAGCTCCATAGACCTAAACGTGATTCTATACCATATCTTGTTGCCACATTTTATTTCTTTACTTGTTCAATTCATGAGGTTGTCTCTTGAAAACATACAACAACCTTAATTTTATCCATTATTAAACATGGAACTCACAAAACTGCATCTTGAATACTTAAAGTCAAATTTTACACCTTTTTGTATCAAATTCATTTGCATGGTGTTCCCCTCAAATATTGTAGAATTCTATACACCGTCGAAAATATGATTCTTTAATATTATAGATAAACTGACTCACAACTCTAATAGCACAAGCAACATAAATTTTAGCATGTAACAAGTAGATAAGTCTCACAACTAATCCTTGATAGGAGATTTTTTCTATTTTCAAGTCTTTCAGACCATCTCCAGGTTTATGATTGAATTTTATGAGCTCACAACAAGATATCACGCCAACTGACCTATAACTTTCAACAAGCTTATTATAATTGTTATTTTTTATATAAGGATTCCAATAATTTTGAACCTTAATGCCAAGGAGATACGCAGCAAAATCAAATTCCTTGAATAATCTTTCCTTTGAGCCCCTAAAATAACTTTTTGGATGTTTTTTTGAAAAGAAAGAGCTCTTGTGGCAGAATGTAAGTGGCTGTATTTTCATTCAACCACTTCATTTTGTTAGGGTATATATATAGTAGAATACTTCTGCATAATTTATTTCTCTTAAAATATGAGGAAAGAAAACAACAACAACAAGCCTTTATCCCATTGGGTAGGCTACAAGAATCATTTTTTTTTCATTTTATCCTATTTAGTGTCATATTTTCATTTAAATAAATTAAGATCATTTTTTATACAATATGCCCAAGCTACCTTTCTCTTAAAATAAAAGAATGAGGAAAGAGAATATTTAAAATAGCCTTTGATATTATCAACTTAATTCAACGCCAAATTGAATTTAAATATGTTGTGAGAAGCAAGAAAGTAGATACCCATACTAGTTTTAACTTTTCCTAAAAAGATCAAAGATTCATGACAAGCAAGTAAAATCGTTGATAAAAAAATAAAGCATCAAGCTCCAGAGATACTTGGTGACAATATTGGTCCTCAGATATTACTATGAATGAGAAAAAAAGAATCATTCACTTAAAAAACTACAACACATTAATGTTGCTAGTTCACAAATATCACAATAAAAGTCTTTAATATTAATTTCTTTAAATAATAAAGAAGCATTAGTTTGAAAATCATAAAAGATGGGCAACCAAAAATAATATTAAAGCCAAATTCTTTCTTGTTGGATTTAAAGGTTTTTGAGAAAAATTAATATAGAATTTTCTTGATCAATGGATTTCTCAATGTGATGGAGAACATATATTTATTCACTCAAGTACAATCTCCCTCCTTGTGCCCTACTCATAAAAGACAATTTTGTTAATTTAACTCAACATTGCACTTAGAATCTTTAGCTTTTAAATGAACGACTGTTGGTAAACAATTTAGGTGCACAAAGGATATTTCAAAGCGTCTCATTTATTAATTAAAAATTGCTCCATAAATGGCAACATTATCAAGGATTTATCAACAATATGAATATTTCCTAGTAGTTGAGACAAAAAAAGTGTATAAAATAAACTTGTGGGCAGCGTTAATCATATGATCTTCAGCTCTTGCATCAATTTTCTAAAAAATAAAAATGAACATCTTCGAATCTTTAAAGGCATGACAAAAGGAAATAATTAAGAACACTAGAGTACAAATACTTGTCGTAGATATTTTTTATAATGCTCCAAAAATTTTTTTAGCCTTTCTATCCAATTTTTATGGAACCCAATAGATGATATTTTAATGTTACCTTCTCCGTTTTGTCTTTTCTCCTTATGTTCTCAGATTTTAATTTTGTGATTTGTCATGGAGTTTCCAACATTTTTACTATGCATGTCAAAATTATTGGCAATATGTGTATTATAGATTATCACTATTGATTATCTTTACAATGGTTGCTTGCTTGCAGCCCTCAATAGAAAAAGGCTGAGTATGAGCACTCCACTAGATTGTTGGTGATCACAACTTCAATTCTTCCTTCCTTATTTCAGATGGCGGAAATGCCTTCATTTAGTGACGGTAAATCCTCCCTTTCAAGAATTTGTACAATTACACCATCAAACTCATCATTTAATCTAGAAAAGAACATCGTACATACGATCTCTTGCAACATAATTTTTATTAAAAAATTGCAAATTTATTACATTCCAGCTGGATCCTTTGATAATGAAATATCTTTTGTCATAAGCTTTGTTAAAGTTTGAATATGACGTGATCGATTATTCTTGTTTTCTAAATGAGATATTGGTCAGGACTTCATGGATTTGTTTGACATCATAAGCTTTGAAATATGCATGCTCATCATACGTCATAATTCTTTTGCCGAATGAAGGAACAAACATGTATCATTTCTCTCTAAAACCGAAGAGTTTTTTTTATAGCCAAGATATCACCAGTTTTATTCATCACAAATTTTAAATGTAAAATCTTCTAGCTTAGGTTTGATTTTCAGTAAATGGCCTATTTTTCCTCTTTTCTTAAGAATGTGTAAACTAATTGCAACAGCTTTAGATAGTTCTTTTAATTCAACAAAAAACTTGAATAAATGGTCAGCAACTCTCCCGTTAAATTGGGATTAAATTTTTTCAATCCAAGGCAACTCGATACAATAGTAATATGAGCAAAATTATAGTTTTTTATGAAGGGAAACCATGGCAATAATGCATTCATAGGAACAGGAAAAAAATATTTCCATTTTAGAAATAAAAAAGAAGTGAAAGTAGAGAAGACATTCAAGAAACAAAAAATCCTAAAGCTTTAATTGGAGAATAATTTATTGTATCTTTCATTTTAACATTTACATAACTTGTACTATCTAGTAAAGCTTGTAGTAAGAAACATAAAAATTAGGGAATAAAAATAACTACAATTAATTATAATAATCCTGCGGATTGGTGAGTTGGCAGCAATTTTTTGTCTCATGGATCGATGAGATGGAAATGTCAAGGGAGGAAGAAGGAGAAAATCAATGCAATAATTAAAGAGCTGTTTTAACAATTAATGGTTTATAGAGCGAAGGTATAAAGCATTCACAACTCATCATCAGCTTCCCATTAAAAGACGAAATCATTTTAGGATTAAGCCAATGATAGAGATGGGCTGAGGAACGAAGAAAATCTAGCAATTTTGCAGAAGTATGGGAGAGGCTCTCAAGCTCAATATTAAAAATGTACAAATATACAACAGAAGAAAAAGAAAAAGTATGGAATGATAATAAAAAAATAATAATAATGCAACAACTTCAGCCAACAACAAGACTCAGAATATCAAAGATACAAGTATTTCAGTCAAGGCCAACGATATTTGCAGAAGCATGAGTGATATTACAATTTACTCAAATCTTTAGCCACAAGACTAAAAGGACAATTTTGTCAATTGTTAGTTATTAAAATAGGGCTTAATATGTTTAGTGTTAGGTTGTGCACGATTGTTGTCTTGAATCTTAGAGTTACAGTTTGCCAGAGATCGCCTACCTCTCAAATTGTAGGTCTAAATTTTATGTATTTTGGATTATATCTTTATGATTCGGTATCGGAGGAATAAAACATATTATTTCTGCACTAAGTTATGCGAAATTTGTCTCGTTCCTATCAAATTAGTATCAGAACATTCGAGGTCGCTGCTCCACTAGAAATCTTTAGTGTTCGCATTTGAGGCCGCTGCTACGCCTTGTATCGTTCCAAAATCATCACTGTGTCGCCTTCGTGACCGAACTTTGTGATGCTGTCGCGATTTGAGCTAGTTGGGAAGCCAACAAAAAGATCTTGGATCGCATTAGTGACGGAACTTGCCGATACAGTCAAGATTCGAGCTAGCTAGAAAGCCAATATTGAGATTGCGGGTCGACTTCGTGACCAAACCTCACGACACAGTCACGATTCGAGCTAGCAAAGAAGCCCCGCGACATTGCCTTCGTGATTGAATGGTGTCAGAGTTAACTATCACAACCCGACTCGAAGCTTAAAATTAACTAAGACAAGTACTGCGGTCAGATAGTATTAACATTTCATTTTACTTTTCAAAAATTTAAGAAACTTCCAATATATTAAAAGAGTCATTAATCCACAAGTGCAAAAATTTAAATCATCTAACAACAACATCCACAGACAATTTTTCAATCATG